TGTGTGGATTAACCAGCAGATTTCCCCCGTGTGATAACGTCCTATATAAATTTATTTGGGAGTAATTCCTTCTGACATCAGTAGTCCTTAGTTACTTCTGAGTAAACACACATGGGGTGCATTGTTGGCTTTATCCCTTTTTAACAGAATACATGGAGATTCTGACTACACCAGCAAGGCTGCCTGCCTAAGAACTTTCACCCAAAGGGGTTATGCTATTTTCAGAAGAATGATGGCTGGAGAGAGAAGCTGGGATGATGAACTGCAAATGGCTTGGCCTGAGCAGAAGCACAGGCAGGCCAAGAGAAAACCTGAGAGAGGTCTTAAGGAGTAGAATTTATTTATTAATTCCAGATTACTATTACCATTATAGAAACTCTTCCTCCAGGGAGAAAGATAGCAATCAACACAGATGGTTCTCAGGTTAGCACATCCATTGAGACAACTTTGAATGAAGACAAAGTTGAAGAATGAAAAAGCAGGCCAAGTCTACAAAAGCTTATGTCACAACGTCTTTTGCTCAGTTAGCCTCAGAGGTGCTACAAAATCCCTTTGCATACAGACATTGGATCAATTTGGCCTTATGGTCTTGTGCAGTTTACACTGTGTGAGAAGGAGAACAGGAGTGCTCTTGCTGGTAAAGTCCTTGGAATGGCCCACACCATACTCTCCAAGCATTGAGTCAAGTTCTAAAGAAGAGACCTTGCTCTATATGCCCAGGCTCCCCACATCTAACTCTTGCTCTAGAAAAAGACAAGCTCAAGGGACCATATCCAAGGCAGTCCAACACCTCACTGGTAGGCTTCAAGCAGACAGAGTGGCAGTGGAGGCAAGGGCAATGCAAAAGACAGAGAGGAAGGCAGTCCAGGTTCAAGCATAAACTATCCAACCTGAGAGCAGATAAATCAGGCAAAGCAGTCCAAAGGCACAGCTTACTTTTTGGCGTGCATCCATTGGAAGCAGAAGGAAGAAGGGATTGGCTAGATCTCACAGCAGATCTAATAGTAGATGCTAGTCCCACCAACCTTCCTGGCCCAGAACAGAGGCTTGCCAAGTTCACAGGGCCCTAGCTGTGGCTCAGCTGTAGCCAGGATATTAGCAAACATCCTGCCCAGAAATAAGGCCTCTATTTATTCTACTCTCAAGGAGTGCTTCTATACTAGGGGCCAGGTCTCTGTGTTACCTCATATCCAGCCCATGTGTGTAACTGCTGGCACTCTCATAGGGTGAACTCTGTTGGAGACACCCCACTTCAGGAAGCAGATTTGGGGTGTCCTGGAAAGGCAGCAATAGTTAGTTTTGTTGTTGTGGCTTTGAGTTGTTTCTGACTTACGGCAACCCTATCGCAGGATTTTCTGGGGCTGATAGTGTGTGACTCACCCAAGATCATCCAGTGGATTTCCATGGTTGAATGGTGAATTGAAGTCTGATCTTCAAAGTTTAGCTCAGACTACAGGTGCCACAGTATATTGGCTGGCCTATGTATGTTGACTTTTCTAGGAAGGGAAGCATTTTCTGCTCTGATTCAGGCAATAGAATAACTTCTGTGGGTGCTAATAAAACCAAGCCATACATATT